CCCCAAAACCCCAAAACCCCAAAACCCCAAGTATCTCTAACCAAATTGAAATGGCTTGAGAGATATAAAGCTTCAAATTCACCACTAAAATTTACTCTCCGAATGCTTAATTCCTTAATGTCTAAAGTTTAGTATTACTGAATTCGATATGACCAAATCCTGACTTTTTCTTTAAATCCTGCAACCTTTTCTTAACTAAAATCGGAGATATCTCAATTTTCTTTAAGGACTCTTTAATGGGACAGCTAGATAGAAGCTTTCAGAAAACCTCCAAGTGTTGAGTCTTCTTAGCCCAGGGTTTGCCTTTATAATCAGTTATTTGTTTGAGGTAAATTTCTTCTAGTTTAAACTCTCTCCTTAGTGGAATTTTCTTCTTATAAACTTCTATTTGTGTTTCTCTCAAAATAAGCTTTTTCAAGATCAATGCATTGCCCAAGATCCTCAGAAGCTGTTTTGTGCTAATCTGAAATTTTCCTATTTCAATCCTTTCTAGAGAACGAGACAGAAATTGGATTATTTGAGGAAAGACAGTGCTGAATTTGATAATTTTGCAGTCTTCACTTTTGATAATGGTAAGCCCAATCATTCTAACTTTTTGAAGACTTTCAAGTAGTTTGGAATATCTATGAAATGTTAAGAAATAAGAGAAGAGGATTGATTTCAAAGAAAATACTACAATAAAACATGACAATAAATTTTTCTATTTTCTTAATAACTTACTTAACAGTAGGTTCATTTTTAATAGGATAAAGAAACACTTGAAACTGATAATCATTTGGAATTCTGCTAACTCAAATCCATCTCTTATACTCCGATATCCTTCCAGGTTCCTCTGGGCTACCTATAAAAATCCCTCTCCTCACTTACAAAGACCTATCGACTCATTCCCCTCCCTCACTCCCAGACTCACTGGCTGTCTCCTCAGTCCCAAAAACCTTGGATTGTCCGTAACCCAAAAAGTCCTAATATCATCATACCATTGCTCTAGCTCATAAAGACTTAATTCTTGGTCAGTAATGTACTTGAAGCCGAACGATTTCTCCATTTATGATAATATTTGTACTATTTAGGGCTAGAAGAGAGGGGTTTTGGGGTTTTGGGGTTTTGGGGTTTTGGGG